GGCCATGAACCAGGGAATGCTGAGGACCTCCAGAAGCTGGGAAAGGTAAGAAAACAGATTCTCCCCTTAGCATTTTCTGGAAGGAATGCAGTCCTGCCAGCATCTTAATTTTACCACACGAAGACCATTTAGACCTCTAGAACTGTAAGACAGTTTGTTGTTTTAAGCCACTAAGTTTGTGGTAATTTGTTACAGCAGCAATAGGAAATGAATATACTTACCTTTTACCTCTCTCCTACTGACCTGCACATTTTGTTTTAAATCCATCCTACTCCATTATTGTTAGGTGAGTTTCCATATTTTCTTCTAAGTTTTAAAGCTTGTTTTTCACATTTAGATGGCCATAATCCATCTGGAACTTATTTTTGTCTTTGGAGTAAAGATTCTAACTCTGTCTTTTTCCATGTAAAGAGCCAACTGTCCCAACACTATTTATTTAATAGCTCCTAATATCCCCATTGTAATGCTATTTCGGTCACCTTCCAATTCCAATATTCATGTGAAATGCTCTCCTCTTCCACTGTTCCATTGTCTCTCCCTGCACCAATACCCACCATCTTAATTATTATTGCTATAAGTGCAATATATACTTGGGAGGACAAGTGATCCTGCCTGGTGTTCTTAAAAATTATCTTGGCTATTTTGGATCCCTGTCTTTTCCAAATCTAGGATAAGCTTCTCATGTTTTCCCATCCCACCCTAAAAGACACTCTCCTAGAAAGAAAAAAGATTCTGTAAGCATTTCGCCCGAAATTGTATTAATTTGGAGAGGATACTGAGTCTTCTCAAACTATAAAAGGTTACATCTCTTCATCTTTTAGGCCCTTCAAAAAAGTCTTCTAAATAATTTTCCCCATAAAGGACTTACTTGCACTGTGTTAGATTAAGTACTTTGTATTTTAATTGGCATTTACTTTATATCCAAAAACTTTTTAAAACTTCATACTAACTCTAATTTATTTGTATATACTCTTGACAATTTTGTTTCTTCTTTATGCATTTTTTTTTGTTTGTTTGTTTGTTTTACTCTTAGTCATATGACTGGGGCTCCAGAATACTACTGAACAGACATGGTGACAGTAGAGACCTTTGTCTTCTGCCTGAATTTAAAAAGAAATGCTTTGAATGTCTCACTAGGAAGTGTGATGTTTACTCTGCAGGGTTTTGCTGGCCTTCATTTTTAAAATGTACAAAAGAGTTAATACTATTAACTCAATATGGATTAGCGGAAAAGTTTAACAGTAACCAAACTCTTCTACACTTTATAAACTCATTACTTCCTTTCATTCTGTGGCTGGACTGATAGTTGTCTACTATTTATAGCTGTGGCCCTTATTCAGCACTCTCGCACAGTCTTGCCAATTCTTATTCTACTTAGTATCATTTATGTCATCACAGTTATAATTTCATTTGAAATTTTTCTACAGCCTCTTGTTACAATGTTTCTTTTGCTTTGCCTGCTGGTAGCTGCCAGGATTGGATTATTACTTCAAAGGAGGCCAACGTCCATGCCAGGCCAACGTGGAGACGCTACAGAAGCAGTGAGCAGAATGCTGGTTGCATGGAAACACAGTGAAAGCACGCTACCCTACACACTACAAGGCCAATGCCTGAAGTGTTTATGTAGGCTCCCCACGCACCCCCTGCTCCTAACCAACTGTTCTGGGGGCTGTTCTATGGAATAACCTTACTGCAAGCTAATATACAATGTTATTCCCTCATATCATAGGAGTCCTAACACTGGATACATTGTTTTTCGTGTCCAATTAGGAATATAGCCAGGATACTTATTTGCAACAGAACTAAAAGCTGACAAAGATTTGAAAATACCTGTTCTAACAGTTTCTTTACAGATGAGTTAACAGAGGTACAAATAAATTACGTGATTTTCCCAATGTCACCATAAGTGAGAAGCAGAACTATCAACTATGGTTGATAGTCCTTTCACTGTAAAATGACTGCAAATTATCCATGGACCTCTAGAATGTAACATATGTCTGGACAAATAGAAATCAGCCTGGAACAAACAGTCATTTGCAAAACATACTGATTTTGTATGAAGATGGAAGTCTTTAAGATGCCTCAATATTGGGCATCTGGGTGGCTCAGTCCTTAAGCATCTGCCTTCGGCTCAGGTCATGATCCCAGGGTCCTGGATCGAGCCCCACATCGGGCTCCCTGCTCTGTGGGAAGCCTGCTTCTCCCTCTCCCACCCCCCTGCTTGTGTTCCTGCTCTCGCTATCTCTTTCTCTGTCAAATAAATAAATAAAATTTTTTTTAAAGATTTATTTATTTATTTTGAGAGAGTGAGAATGAGAGAGAGAGAGAGAGAGAGAGAGAGCACATGAGAGGGGGGAGGGCCAGAGGGAGAAGCAGGTTCCCCGCTGAGCAGGGAGCCCGATGCAGCACTCAATCCCGGGACTCCAGGATCATGACCTGAGTCGAAGGCAGTTGCTTAACCAACTGAGCCACCCAGGCGCCCTAAATAAATAAAATCTTAAAAAAAAAAAAGACATCTCAATATGCCATTATGACTCTTTAACAGTAATTCACAGTATGTCTGGAAATGCCAACTACAGGCAACACCTTCAGAATTCTGCAGTTGTAACTAATTAAAGCAAAATCAAGGGGTTGACTAATATATATATGCAAAGTCAACTCAACTGGAAAGAAACATTTCCCAGAATTAATCCAGAATCACACTGGACTGTGGTTTATGCAGTAGCATTAACAAATCCGGAGAAAAAGGCCAGGGGAGAGGTGACTGAATGAGAGAAGCAGGATAGGTAGTGTGTGTCTAGCATTTTCTAGGGAAAGACAACAGAATTCAGAGAATGCACACAACTGGGACCCGCAGGAGTCTCTTTTGTGGGGATTATTAGCTGAGTAAACTAATCTCAAGATATCTAACTTCATTTTACCTAAAGTTTATGCTCACCAAATAACCTTCTGAGGACTAATTCAGTTTCCCCTGTTCTTCTAGAGAGGGAGAAAAATGCTCAGGACAGAAATCTCAAGCATTCCAGCCATGAGAATCCACCTACTACAGATTACTGTGTTAACCTGGTTCACATATCAATCTCCTAGGTCGGATCAACTCAGGGTGTCAGGGCCACCAGGGGGAAGCATGGTTGACTTCCCCAAGAAAATGTTACCGCTGTTAAGGCCTCTTCATGGTCAGTCTGGGTGTCTCTGCTGGGAGGCCCACCGTACCTCACATTCCCTCCATTTCAAAACTAAACCTACTGCCTAAATGTATCTTGAAAAAAGACTTTTCAAAGATTTAAAACACTGCATGTAAAGGCATTAAGAAGACAAATGTGTTGTCCTTACATAATCTGAATATATTCTTTAATCAGTTCTTGGAGTGAAAAGGTTTTATATATATATATATATATATATATATATAGCTCCCAGGTCCTTCCCAAGCGACACCTTCACTGCTTGGGTTCCACAGAACCAAAACAGTGACATGCAACTGCATGGTAAAACTTAAAAACTTTTTCTGTTTTCATTCTTACTCACTTTTGACTTCATGAATGTAAAATTGTAATTCTTCAAAGAAAAATAGTAATACTCAATAATTCTGTTTCTAAAATGCCCTCCCTAGAAATTTAGTTGGTTTAGCTTGCTGAATTAGATAGGAGTCCTGCAAAATTCTTTCAAGATGGTACTTTCACATTTAGAACTATGTATTTTGCTTTTAGTTAATACCAAATTAAGTATCTGTCTGCTGGTTTGACCACAAAAATTGCTAAGAGAATTCCTTTCCCAGCAAATGTGGACTACTGGTCCATGCCTTTTTCAGCCTTATCAATACTTGGGAGAGACTAACCAGACCACATTCTTTTTTTCTCCACTGGTTTTTGTCCAACAGACAGGAAGTATCAATAGCCACTTAGTCTTTCCCAGTTGGTGTCTAAAGGGCCACTGAGAGAGACCACAGACTGTTTTTTATTCTTGTTCCTCACCCAAGACTCTATTCTTAGCCTGATACCAAGAATACTCTCTCTAGGAATGTCCTGTGAAATAAGACTACATTGCTTAGGTTGGGATCAAAGTTTCTGAGTATGATCATCATCTCCGGAGTCAGCTCTGGTTGAAAGGTCTGTCACTCCTACCATTATGCAGGGCTTCAGATCACCTCTGTGTAAACCTCAGCTTTGACTAAATGCTCCGAAGAAATGATCATAATTAGACATCTTGAAAATATCCCAGATCCTCATTACTTCCTCTGCATAGATCCTATAAACATGGAGCCCAGAACTGATGCTGCAAAGCGGTAATCTTGTTTTGCTCCAATTTAAACTTCTGAGTAAATATGATAGAAAGGAGAAACTGCTTACTCTATAAATGTGGGTCTCCAAGGTGACCCAGGTATCTCTGCACACACCAGGCAGGAAATCCCTAGTTCCCCCAAATGAAGATTTGAAATTAGTATCAGTGGCCATATTAAGACCCATGCCTTAAAGTAACATTGTACACCTGAGTAGCAAGTTGTTGTGTGACTTATCTAGAATAATAAAATTATAGGGTTATTAGCTGCTACAATTACAGCCAGAATTTACAGTTAGTTAATAGCTAATATTCAAGGAGCGCTCACCATGTGCTGGGCATTTAATAATAATCTCATTCAATATCCCAGGGGCCTTACAAAGTACTATTATTTTTGACAGATGAGGAAACTGAGTAACTCTATTAAATGTCATCCAAAATGGTTAAAGTATCAAACTGGGATTTAAGCCCAGGTCTCTACATCCTGTGTTTTGAATTCTTGCTTAAAAAAAATATATACGTGTATATATATATATATATATATATATATATATATATGTATCAGTCTATATTTTGGTTGGATTTCATGAGTGAATCCCAATTTTACAGTCCATGAATAAATTATTCATATTTTTATATTTACCCATGTATCACTTCTTCCGATATCACATCATTCATGGTAATTACACTGGACAAGAAAAAATCTTACAATTATGCATACTTACATAGTCAATGGGCTTGAGGGATTTAACTCTCGATGTTGGGCAGCCACAGGAAGTAAGGTCAGCATAGAGGCCTTCTTCTAACACACACTGATTATCAGAATTGTCCTCTTGGTAATACAGGAGCCAGCTTGAAAACAAGTAGTGAGACGTTCAGTCAAATTGCATCAGCTGGCAGTGCGGGCTCATCATCATGCTGTGGGAATCCGGCGAGGAGTAGGCCCTAAAAGTCATGGTGCTGACCAGCAGCAAACACTCAGCATCGGTTTAAAGAAACAGCTACAACTACCACTGACTGATTGCTTACCCTGTGCTAGACATGGGTTAGATACGTAACCTGTATTATTACACTGTGTCCTCAATCTTGTGACGTAGAAACACATCCTTATTTTTTATAGGCAACAAAACTAAGGATTAGAAAGGTTAGGTGATTTGCCCAAGGTCTCTTCAACTGTTAAATTACAGAGCTGAAATTTGAAACAAGACATCTGCTTTAGACTAACGATATTAGCTTCCTTTAGTGCCTTCAAGTACAAAACCCTGGGATCGATTATAGTGATTATTAAGTACTTGAAGAGATTAGAAATTCTTTTAGGAAAAACAATCACTTGTATCCTTATTTAATGATGGGTTTGCTGTCTAAAATCACACAACAGTATATAAAAATCTCACCTGTACATTGGCTAGTGATTTTTTTAAAAAAGAAATATGCCCATTAGAATCTTTGATAGTGATTATCTTCAATATATTACTCATCAGAAGTTTGGTTAGGAAATGCCTTTTTGAAAAGAAGGAGCCCAAGGGAGAAATGAAGGGGCTATTATTACTTCACATCCAGTGTGTATAAGTTCTAGCCCCACACTCTGAGACCACCAGAACTGTACTTGTGCTCAACCAGCTTAACTCTGGATCATCACAGAGATGCTTTGTAACACTGTAATTTACTGTCATATCTTCTATGCAATTAGGCATTTTATCAAATGTTTTCAACATGGCAGGCATGGAGTTTCAGCCCTTCAAATGCATCATTTATTTGGTCCTTATAAAAATCCTTTGAGGTAGGTACTGTTATTATCCGTCCTTTACAGATGAAAAAACTGATTTTGGATAGTAATCCAATTCATTTAAGGTTATGTATCTAGGAAGTAGTGGAACTGGGCTTAAATCCAGGTCTCCCAAGTATTCCAGGTACTTAAGCAACTGTCAGGGCTCCTGTATTCTTTTATTAAACTGCAGTTTAATAAACCATATATAAAAAAATATATATATACACAAAAATAAAATGTATATTCCCTACATAAAGTGAACATATGACTAATTTGTCCTAGATTTCAGTGTCAGGAAAAAATACCTTCCTCCAGAAAGCCTTCAGTACTTCCATGAAAATATATCTTGTAATTTCTTTCATCTTAGTCGAGAAGAAACTCAGAGCCAAAGACTAGTAACAAAATTATTTCAGGTGCCCAGTATACACTTCTCTCTCACTAAAGAGTTGCAGATAATCTAACTTAGAGTGTCCTATTTTATGTGTTTTAATATTATAAAAACCATGTCCTTTTTGGAAGTATAAAAATAACAACATTCACAGAGAAGTTCAAACTAGTAAGAGCTATAGAAAATCTGGGAGGAAAAGACTGGTGGAATTAGGGTTAATCAAGAAGGTTGACAGAAGGAATGGGGATGGGCTGACCCCCTTAAAGATATACTTGGTTTGGTATTAAATGGGGGCCCTAAGCTTACATGCCTCCAGGCGGCCAGGCAAGCGTTGTACTGAGCAGTGTACCAGGTTAAAAAAAAAAAAAAACAAGCAGGAATATAGCTTATGGTACACTGGATCACATATGCCACTGACTTCACACTAGCTAATTACTGCCAAAGGTGAATGCTTCTCGGAGTTTTAAAATCTTCTGATTTTTTTTTTTAAGATTTTATTTATTTATTTGACAGAGAGAAAGAGACAGCGAGAGGGAACACAAGCAGGGGGAGTGGGAGAGGGAGAAGCAGGCTTCCCGCCGAGCAGGGAGCCTGATGCGGGACTCGATCCCAGGACCCAGGGATCATGACCTGAGCTGAAGGCAGACGCTTAATGACTGAGCCACCCAGGTGCCCCAAAATCTTCTGATTTTTTTTTTTGAAGAGATGAAAAAACCCTGAACCAAAATATGGATATTTTTTAACATAGTGTGTAGGCCGAACAAACAACATCTGCTGGCTAGCTTCCCCTGAAACTTAGAGCCCTTCACAGAAAGCAGGGTTAGCAAGCTACAGCCTGTGGGCCATCTGTCCCCTGCCAGTTTCTGTACAGATCACAAGCTAAGTCTGCTTTTCACGTGCTTCAATGATTTAAAAAAATTAAAATAGCCTGTGATATGTGACTATGCTATACAATTCAAATTCCAATGACCATACATAGAGTTTCACTGAAACACAGGTGTGCCCATTCACTTATGTACTGTCTATGGCTGCTTTTCTGCTCCTAGTGGCAGTGCTGAGTAGCTGGGGCAGAGCCTGCAAGGCTCACAAAGCCAAAAATACTTACTACCTGGCCCTGAAAGGTCTGCCAACCGACCCCTGGTTTACAGGGTAAGGCAGAAAGTACTCCGCGGAATAAATGTGGAAGAGGGGAAGAGAGGGAGGCAGTGTAAGGACAGAATGGGGAATGGGTGGGACAGCGAGACTAACTGACGGCAAGTCCTGGAAAAGGAGGCATCTGAACTCCATCGGACGAGCAGCGGAGGATGACTGGGGGATGTAAAGCAGAGTAATAAAAATAGTAAACTGTATCTTGGGACAATAATTGGGCTACGACCGGTTTCTGGTATAAGATGGAAGGAAGGTAATACTGGAGTGGAGCTAATCAGGGGACTGGAGTTCTTCAAGTAGAAGAACTGATTCAAGAGGAAAAGGAGAACTGATGAATCCAAAATATCTTGAGGGATAAACAGAGAGATTCTGATGAGTTATTAGGTAGATACTTGAAATAGACCTACCACTGAACTGTACACGTTAAAATGGTTAAAATGATTAAAATGGTAAACTGTATTTTATGTATATTTTACAAATAAAAAATTCAGGAAATATGTATTAGCCTTGGGAATCACATACAGTTCATTTACATCTGAAAAAGACCCACCCCTGTGGCTCAAAGAATATAAGATTTAAATTTATTAAAATTAATTTAACTAAATTTTTTAAAAAATGACTAAAACAATCATGGGTCTGACATTTGGTATGTGATCATGGGAAACCCTAACTTTGAAATCAGGAGTCCTCATCTGTGAGATGAGATTGATACATACTTTAAACAAATTTTTTTTAATTTAGGTGTAATAGGTCTATTATGGACAAAACACTACTTTTTATATAGCATTCTATTATGCTATCCAATAAACATACAACATAAGCATTCAAAATATTTAGGAAATAATCTAAAATAACGGTGAGAAAATAAAATGGCCACAATGTTTCCAAAGTTAGCTAATCAGCATTTTTTTCTCCGTATTACAAGATGGACTATAATACAGGCTAGGCAAAATTACTGTAGGCTAATTAGCACTTGACCAATGACTAAAAGACTCTTTTTTAATTCACTGTGAATCAAAAAAAAATAAAACAAGTCAAACCTCTGTAAATTTAAAGGAAATTTAGTTATTAAACATTAGTAGAAAACACTCAGCAAGCATACTTACCAACCCCGAAGAACTTTAAAAGAACATGGTGTGAATGAAGTCAAATCAGAAATTTCTTCTGTAAAATCTACACATTCACCTTGGAACCCTGGTATACTGAATGCTTTGAGCTATGAGAACAATAATACAAGAATTTAGCAGAAAACAGCTGTTTGACATTATCTCAAAAGTAAATGAAAACCTTTTATTTCTTGTATTTATAAAAAAATTCAGCAAAATTGGGGCACCCGGGTGGTTTAGTCGGTTAAGCGTCTAACTCTTGATTTCAGCTTAGGTCATGATTTCAGGGTCATGGGATCGAGCCCCACATCAGGCTCCATGCTCAGCTTGAGAATTCTGCTTGAGGATTTCTCACCCTCTCCCTCTGCTACTCCTCCTGCTCATGCTCTAAAATAAATAAATCTTTTAAAAAATTAAAATTCAGCAAAATATGAGTGTTTAATCTATTACCAATGGGTCCTTGTTAAGGATGATATTCTCTTTAAACTCCCATTTTTGTTTCCTTACCCATATCTGGAAATGTCACCATTTATTTACCATTTTCATCCATCTTTTGCATCAGATTCTGGGCAGAGGCCAGAAAACAATTCTACATATAAGATTCAATCAGAATCCCTCCTCCACTAACATGTGGTCCCTGCCCATTGTATCAAACAATTATGATCCCTTGGGCTGAGACTACATGTTTAAGATAAAGAAGCAATTCAGTGCTAAATATGAAGGTGGTTTCAGTTAGTGCGAGGGGTGGTTGGTAAGCCTTTTCTCTTCACAGGTCTCCCTGACCCAGTTAATAAAAGGTTGCAGGAGGGAGCCTGAGCACACGCAGGTAAGTGGGCCTGAGGAAGCTCATGAACAGATGACAGAGAAGGTAATGACGAGAGTAGCAGAAGATTTATAGTGAACAAAGAAAGACATCCATGTCATGCATGTCAGCCAATGGGCTCCCTTTTACTGTTAAGAATATCCTAAATATAAAGCTTACAGTTATATACAACCACATTTCTACTTTAGTCCTTTTTGTTGAAAAATCCATGAAATCTCAACTGTGATTCCCTTCAGACCAGATACACAATAATCTGCAACTCTGGTGGCCTTGGATCTATACAATATGGAAGAAAGATTTAATGAGCCCTATAAATATTTCAAAACACACTGGAGCCTTGAAATAACATGGCCCCCAGGTTCACCGTGCACTGACAGGCCCGCATTGTAGCTAAGAAGGCACCATACTGAGTGCCGGGCAGCACTGTCCTGTCTCTCGCTCGTGCTATATCAAGAACAAAGCTGCTTTGAGCAGCTGATGTTTGCCTCCTTCATCTCCCCAAGAGTCCTCTTAGAGGCTGATAGCCTCCGAGTTCTGAGGAACTGCTTGCGGACTATCTCCTTCTGCTCTGACATCAAAGACTGGTGAAAATCAGGGAGGTGGAAGAACCAACTCCCCTGGACCAATCATGGCTTGGCACAACCTGACTTGCTATTGTGAAACCAGTCTGCATCTGAAGCATTCCAACACCAAGGGACTCCCCGCCTTAAGGAGGTATGATCCAGCAAGTTTCTATCATGATCCTTCTGGTGGATACAGAGGGTAGCAACAAAAAGGAAGTCCAAAATGAGGCAGACTTCTAAAACAACTCCTTGTAGAAGAACAAGTCTATGGGTCCAGGGAAACTGCCCCTCATTTCTTTGATAAGAACATATATTTTGGTTAGTCATTTTCCAAACTACGTGTTTTAACTTAAAGGCTTATAAAACAGATCGAGAAGTAAATCACAATTTTACTTCCAAAAAACGTAATTTCTTCTACCTGCAAATATCTTAATTCACAATTAAGACTTGGAAAAGCCACATGAGAACAGAGGTCACAGCTGTCTTGTTCACTCTCCATCTACCCAGTTTGTTAATTGTTTTTATGTTGCTGAGCTTAAGGTTTATACTTCACTATTTCACCATGAAGCCATGAAATCCAGACAACTGACAATGCAAGTTAAACATATTTCAGATGGTATATATAGTAACCAACTCTAATGTTTAGTCTGCCTTCAGACCCAGGAGCGTTAATTAAAATACACACAGACACACAAACACACACACATTTGCCATAAAATACCTTTTGGATTTGATGGGCTAATTCTTTGCCCAAACTGAAAAATCAGGCTTAATGCTGACCTGAGCTTTTTAAATTTTTACTCCCCAAATGAGATAGAGTGCCATACGGTTTACCCAAAATTTGATCAACCCCAGAAAAGTAATGCCTCGTTTTGATTACCCAACAAATGTCTTAGAATTCTCATAATAATGTTCTGAGAGTGGTCCGTATAGAAACCAATTCTGTGCTTTTTAATTATAATAATTAAATTATGGTTTCTATTCTTAGTGAAATTAAGTAACAGTGCCTTGATAAAATTAAGACCTGGGAAAAGGCAGGTGGATAAGGCACATTCTGGTTTCCTTTCCAATCTCTACCAGCCTCCCAAATGGAATTGTATGGAGACACACACACAGTACCACTGTTTTGCAGTGCCAACTGCCTTTTTCACATATATTATCTTACTTCTTTGAACTACTGTTTCAGACAGAAATTGTCACCATTTTATGAGCTTTTTGCAGAAATGTTTTTTATTATGTACTTTTCATTTATGATATACACGAATAAATATAATAGGTCTTTAATTGGACAAACTGAGAACTCAAAATTTTAATCACTGACCAAACACATAAGTTGTGCTCAATTTATTTCACAATATCAGAAAAATTTTCTCAATGTAACTTTATTCCAATGCTAATTTCTATGAGAAACTTTCTATCGTACCTAAACAAGACTTCCTGCAGCCCTTGGACCTCCCCCATTGTTAAACAAGGAACAGTCTTGTTTCTATCAGTTTCTATTCTTCTATTACATCATAGTGTCTCAGATTGTAGTGTTATGTACTCCTAAGATCAAATACTTACTACAGAGTAATTTTACTTCCCTGATTACTCATAGAGGGCTTTCTTTACTCAGGAAAGTAGCTCTTCCTATTTCTGGTCTTTGGATTCTATAAAAATGATCTGGTTGCAGCACCACGAAGAGGTGTTTTCAACTCTAGTACTCTTAAATCTTATTGATATTTGCCTAAAACTGTCACTTTCCTGTCCCCCATACATGGTAACTGTTAAATATCCCGTGACCACTTTAAATTCAATGTAGCCAAATTATCCAATATAAGAAAATATCCAGTCCCTTTTTTTCTCAGCTAGAATCATGTATAAAATGGAAGAGAGGTTCAATATTCCGGGAAATCAAAACTTCTAATATTTGCAAACAGATTTGAAAAATATTCTAGGAAGAAAAAAAAAAGGTTCTTGGTTGTACCAAAGGACGTAACTGGTTAGAATTTCTAGAGCACTGTGCCTGACTACAACCTCCCTGAAAACTAAGCTCACTTTTATAAAATTTAATCTAGTGAGTGATCTGATCTGCTAAGAGATGATGACATTATGAACATAATCCATATTCTGTTCATTTTTTGTTTTCTTTGGGGAAAATAATAAAAACAAAATTAAATGCTAGCTGCTATATATGAAACTATATAATGGTGCTGTATATTTTGAGTTGGCAGTTAGACTCGGTGACTGGTCTTCAGCCATAGGAAAAACAAGAATCTTCTCAAAGGAGGTGTTCTGTGTCTCAAATAAGACGTATCTCATTATAACATGGTTACACAGCAGAAATGATATATTTATCAGAATAATGCTCATGATGTATATTTATCTCCATACACATACATATTCTGGCTTTTCCCTTCTTAGGTTGCTTGAGGTTCCCTTTAAAATCACCAGCATTAAAAAATAAAAAAACAATAAAAAAACAAAAAACAACAACAAAAAAGCCCTCCTTTGACTTGAACTCTGAGAGGTCATTTCCTCCTCAGTCCTCAGGGAAAATAACTATCCCATCAGACTATGACAGCTATTTGTGAAGAAGAAAATACTTTCTAGTTACTGAATGGAACCAGAGTTAGTCAAGATCCTCTTTCCCCCTTCTAAGTAAAAATAAGCAAAACATTCCAAAAATTTGGTCCAATGAAAATAGTAAGAGCTTTGATACTAGGTCAACGAAGGAGGCTTTGTCTGCATATTAAATATCTGGCTATCATTCACCTGTCAGAAACACTTATTTCACAAGGCAATGGCTGAACCAGATCCAGAAATATGAAGTGGGGCTGATTTCACTGCGTGTTTTCTGCTGCTTCCTCTCTCTTCAAGTTGGACTGGAAATACTATAAAGAAAATCCTCCAAGCAATCTGCCCCAAACAAGAAGTCCATAAAAAAAGAACAGGAATGTAGGAGGGAGAAAACAGAACTTAAAAGAATGTGACTTTTATCTGCATTTAAAACTCAGGAAATGTGCAGTTTGGAATTATCCCTGCTTAACCCTTTAATTGCTCATGTTATGCTGATTCACATACAAGTGCTTTAAAAATTCACTGTTGGAGTTTTCAAAGATTTGAAATAAAGATCTCACAGGAAGTGTCTCCAAATATAACAATTTAATTATATTCAAAAAGAAAATGTTCCCAATAGGCCTGAGCTAATCAGAAAATAAGAAAACCTGAAAACACTATGAACAGAAACATGGTTACAACTAAGCTGACTTGAAATACAGAACCACTGACATGAACATGAAAAATAAACACACTCAGAGAAAAAGATTCAGCATTATCTAAAGCCAGCAAATGTCAAATATTTAAAATTAATCACTCAATTGGGTTTTGACAGAAATTTTTCCAGATTGTTATTTAAAATGAGACAGAAGAAGCAATGTCTCTCATCCCCTCTTCCTCCTATGGATGTACTGATTATATCATATATCTTTCTCTGATCCTGAAAATGGTTTAGTTGAGTGGAGTCATCTGCTAAAAAAAGGCCTATTTTGCTACTTCTAGCTGTGTGAAATGACATTTAAATTCTAAATCTTTGTTTTCTCATCAATAACTGGGATTAATTTTGACATCACAGAGTTTTTAGAAGCACAAAATAAGCACAATTTGTAGCCCTCAATGGATAATAAACATTAGGCTCCAGAGTATTGCCGAATCCTTCAAACCATTAACACATTAGAAATAAACAAGCAGGGCTGCAATTTTACTAGTGCTTTTAAGAAATATTTGATTTAGGTATTAGAAGTACATTTACATAATAAGCATGCCCAGACAGCCATTTCTCTATGTTAAGTCTGCTCCTCCAAAGACAGTAGAATGTGCCGTGCTGAAAGAGAATGCGACTTTGAAGAATGGACGGGCAATAGGAAAGGAGTGGCAGAGGTTCAAAATGACCCCAAAGTGGTTAGAGTTAAAGCTGGGGAGAAAACAAAATGAAATGAGACGAGTCCAGGCCAATACAACCCGTAATGGAGGTGGGCACTCTTCTGCCCATAGGTACCAGGTACCGCATAAACTGCCCGGCTTCGTAGATATAAGAAATTTATCTGATGGAAAGAGAAAGAATTGAGACAAGGGGCATAAATGCTCTTGGTAAATAGTAAGTTAAGAAAGTTTTGAAACATACCAAATGTGGAGGCTCATTTATTCCAAGTGGTTCCTGAAACATATATTAAAACATTTTAAAAAATTGTAATCATATAATCTTAGTTGACTTTTTGAAAGTTTTGAAAATACCATTTGAAAAATGGAAAAAAAAAAGGTCTAATTTACTAGATTTCTTGAATTGGTTATGACCCTCAAATAACTTATGGGATTATTTTATAATAATTTTAGTATTTAATACTAATTCATTTTGAGTAATGTAGCTGGGAAAAAAAAATATGTGCCTCAAAGTCCATCAGAAAGATAGAGTCTGAGCTTCCTGCCCTTACCTTTCCCACACTATATCATGGGCACCCTTCTTGGGGTGTTTGTTATTATCCACACTGGCCATACTCTTTCATAACTGCTTGACTTTGCACAGGAGGAGATTATTACCTCTTTGAGGATTGCCTTTTCTGCCCCGCTTCATTATCAGGCAAAAGTGCTTTTATCCCTTAAGATATCATTTAATGCAGGAGTGGCATGTGCCCAACTCCCAGGTTCTGAGTGCTCCTTCACTGGCTCCCCCAGCACTGCCTACACACTCCACCTCCTCACTAATCTTACCACAATCAATCACCTACACATCAATCTCCTCTAAGAGTCCAAGGCCCGTCAGGGCAATCTTATTTATCGTGTATCTCCAGTGATCAGTGGTGTCTGACATATGAAGCATGAAACAAATATTGTTAAATGAATGAAGTGATCAAATCACAGTCATCTCATTAATGCGCTCATACCACCTACTACTAGCTCCCTATACAGTCTAAGAAAATACACATGCTATTTCATTTTCTCTATATATTCACATAACATAATCCAGCAGTTTCACTTTGAAAAAGCCTGTTTCACAAAGTCAAGTGTATGCCATTATACGCTCTGGAATTGGTTATGGTAATTCTTAACTCACCAGATGGATAGGTCGTATTGACATGATTATATTATTTGATCCTCCCCAGTCAAAAAAGCATTTGTATTTCCCTTTTTCTAGAATGTACTGTTCTCCACAAAAGAACTTCTGCTGGTAGGCAACCCATCTAGTGGGGGGGGGGAGGCGGGAAAGGGAAAAAGAACAGAGGTGATACAGAATCGAGCAACCAACAATTTTAAAACCAAAGAACCTCTCAAGGTTCCCAGAATGGGCGACAACTTACACTCCACTTTTAACATGAATGGATCTTGTTTCACTGCCAAAGCCGACTTCTTCCAAGTCAGAAATTTCCTGATTTGTAATGTCAATAAACTTCCCACTTTCTAGGTCAGATTCAAACAGTGTGATAGAAGATTCTATAAAATTCTAAAAAAAGAAGAGGAGGGAAGGTAAGGAAAACATATGGATTTTGCTTTATAGACTGCTATATCTTAGCACAATTTTCACATACTTGGGATAATTTCACACAAATAACTCCAGGGAAAATTTTAAATGGAACTGGAAACAATTTTAATAGTTACTACTCTTCAGTAGTTTAAAGAAAAAAAAAAAGTCTGAATTTACTTTAATCAAGGAAACATTTTTATATATAAGTGCAAATTAATCAAGAGCTGGTAAATTTCTGGGACTTACAGGCTATTTATGTTACACTAATTATAAAGGAAACTAAAAGTTTCACTTGTGCCTAAAGAGTAAAAGCCACAACATGAAATAGAGTTAACATACAATGTGTGATTGGCATTTTGTGGAAGAGGATTTTATAAGCTTAAATGTAAAAGAAAAAATGAAACTTCCTTGACAAAGGATTAAAAAAATAAAGTGAGGGGAAATTTTAACATTTTTAGAGTTAGATAATATACTTAAAACAAAAATGCCAGAAAAAATTTAAGACCCAAGTTGATAAGTCAGCAAAAGACACAATTCACAAAAAAGATAAGCATTACAAACAAATAAGCAAATGTGCGATTTCACCAGTAAAAATAAAGAAATTCAAATTAAAACCATTAGATACAATTTCACTTTTTAAAACAAGTTAAGAAGAATCTAAAAATCCAGTTTTGTCTGAGAACACTGCTGGTTTGAAATATAAACTGGATAGCTACTTTAGAAAATAATTTAGAAATACATTTTAAAAGACTGATACTGTTTAACTGATACTGTTGAAATTCTTTTTTTAAGAAGTAGAAAAAAATTCCTAAAACTAAATGATTGGCAATTTATATGCAAAGATGCATTTTTTATAATACTGAGAAGTTGTAAACAGTGTAAATGCTCAAATGATGTATAAACATAAACCTTTATGCATCTTATCTACCCCTTGATGGAATATAATTAAGAAGAAGCTAACAGCACATTCAATACTACTGGCCAGGAGTTTCATGTGCCTATTTCCAAAAGAACTACCACATGAGATTATATTACTATCATTCTTATTTTCCAGCTAAGGAAAGGGAGTAATTTGTCTGAGGTTAACACAGCTGAGGAGCAGAGATTGAATGTGAGTCCAAATTTATCTACTTATCTATCTACCCTAAACTCTTAATCACTGTCAGATAAGATGAAAGAACAGGACAAAAACTCAAACTTATAAACCTGGTAAGGTCATAACCATGCAAAAAAACCCCACAAAAAAACCAACTTTTCATAAAAGAAGACTACTAGAAAAAAACCCAGGAGTGGTTATCTTTGGATCCAGGGAAGTTGGACAATTTTAACCTACATTTTTTTCAACTCTTTATAATAGACTTTTTAATTGGAAAACACAGAATACATTATTTTTTTTTAAAAAGCAGCATGGGTGTCTGGGTAGCTCAGTTGGTTAAGCATCTGACTTCAGCTCAGGTCGTGATCTCAGAGTCCTGGGATGGAGCCCCCATTTTGGGCTTCCTGCTAAGTGGGAAGCCTATTTCTCCCTCTCCCTCTGCCCTTCCCGACTCGTGCTGTATCTCTCTCTCAAATAAAATCTCAAAAAAAAAAAACAACTCTTCCTCTGTCCCTACGACTTTGTTGTAAGTTTTAGACTTATGGAAAATGTTATCAACTTCTGTAAGTCTCAACAATACCAATTTTCTCCCCCCTTTAAAAATATCATAAATTTGGGGCACCTGGGTGGCTCAGTTGGTTAAGCGTCTGCCCACATCGGGCTCCCTGCTCAGTGGAGAGCCTGCTTCTCCCCCTCCCTCTGCCACTCTCCTTGCTTGTGCTCTAATAAAATCTTAAATACATATATGTGTATAAATATATAAAATAAATTTAATCTAAGAAAAGGAGATTTCTAGGATAAACATTCATTTTATATGAACAAGCAAAACAGTGTCAAAAACAAAAACCAAAGCATCCCTAAGAAGAGGGAAAATACACTTAAAATAATTATCTCATTTACTACTTACTTGTCAGCTTCAATTTAAAGAGTGTTCATATAACTGGATCAAATTTCATTTGAGACTTTAGGATAAAAGATGAAAAAGGATTTTTACCTGAGATCTTTATTATAATTCATAACCCATAATTATATTTTTAATTTCTCCTTGACAGCAAACCTTTGGAACCTGAGGATATGTGTTACCTTCATTACCTTCACATGGTTCTTAAAGAAAAAAATGAGGGCTGGGTGAATTTTTTACCTCATTGTCACCATCCATCCTTCTATTAACATAACACTTCATTCTCAAAACACTTGTACTTTTTATCATTACTGAGCTCCCTTAAACTCTGGTTTTACATATATACACATATATGCGTACACATGTGCACATATATACAATACGTATGCTCACACATCTATATCTACTTTGACATAGATCTATTTTGCAGATATAAATATATGTAAGTATAAATATATAAATCACTTCAATCAAGACTTTAATAGCCCATAAGTGATTTGCCTTAAAGTCCCCAGGGCAAACCTTCCTCCTGAAATACGTTTACAGCCTGGGTGCCACACTAGCAAACCTGGTGGTCCTGACAACATAAACTTCCATCACCTGAAGAACCTAAACATGCCTGTTTCTTCTCACATGAAAGTACATAACTAGCTCAAGGTCGTTGTGAGGATACAACGTGATGATGAGCTGAAGGAGGCCCTGTCTGGGTCCTGGGCAGGAACCGCTGTCAACAGCCACTAACCAATCAGGCCCAACTGCAATGGGAGGGTCTTCAGCAGTTCTCACAAAATTATATGGACTTCTCCCCTCCCCTACTCTGGTGACTTCGAAATGCTCCATCTCTGTTTTTACTTCTGCCCCTACAACTGTTCTCTACTCTCCATGAGGGCTGCAGGAATAGGGGCACGAGGATAAGCTGAAATGCCAAGGGTCATTACGATGTGTTGGAGTAAAACAGGACAAAGACAGAGATAAATATGGATATGCGCAGGTGTGCTGCGTCTGTGCCCTTTCATTAAGAAATAACTTGTGTTATGATGTGATGTACTTTACTTGAGCAATGATTTGCACAAGTCCTACCGTGTGGGTTGTGGGAGAGTGAGCTGGGAAGCAGGCTGGGGGCTGCTTGGCAACAGTGCAGGCTCGAGGTGAGCAGAGAAGGCAGGATCCGCTATCACAGGACCCAGTGCCAAGTACAAGAACTGGCAGCAGACGATTTCACAAATTTACTCATGTGACTTGAGTTTGTGTCCTTTCTACTCTGCCTGCTATTCCCAGAGACCTGGCCGAGGGCGAAGGGAGCCTCTTAAGTGGCATCACTCTCCTCTTTACATCTGCTTTTGTTTATTCATGGCTTTTCCTGCCTTATAGCTTTTGCCCTCTATCTTTTTCTAAGTACCTTACTAGCCATTCTCCTGGTTTTCACTCCCTCTGCATTCTTCACTCAAACCTACCAAATACACAGTGTCTGATCTAGTTGACTAGTTACCATCAATATGGTGTCCCTGCTGGGCAGGGCTCTAACTCTAAGCCAAATCCAATCACCCAGGGCTAAATCTCTAGGGATCACATGTATGAAGTGTGATATAAAACATTTAAAAAAAACTACAAAACCCAAAAACCAGAACTTCTAAGTGCCTTGTTCAGGAGATGACTGCAACAGTCACTTAGAGTCATGTCCATGGTAAGCATGATGAGGTTTCCAGGTTACTAGCATCCCTGCTTTATCAGGTACAATTAAATAATTTTGAAAGTCACACAGATTTAAGTGGAGCTCTGTTGCTTAAGAATGAATAATGATGGAACAATCTCAAATCTGTACTCTGCTTTCTATTTTTAAAGCTCTTATATCCAAGGGAAAATCTAGAGAGCTTAGTATAGTCTCTGGTACAGAACTTCCCATTGTCAGAAAAAACCAATGAGCAGATGCTTCAGAACCAAAGATGTGTCTTTTTAAGGATTAGTAATTTGGGTGTTTTTAAATTCCATAAAATCCTGCAGCAGATCTGATCTGCCCTGGAGCTCTTGTGCTATAACCCTCTGGTGGACAAAGTAATATGAGACACCAATGGAGATCTGAATTTTCAAAAATCTGAAAAGAGGTCCCAAGACTGAAAATCTTAATAAAAGCAGATCCAAAAGTCAAGCTAGTATAAAATGGAGAAAAAATAAGCACACCAAGAAAGTTTTATTGAGGAAGCCAAGAAATAAAAATTCCTTTTTTAATCCCTGGAGTCTAAATACTCCTATTTCTGGACCTCTCCTTTAAAAAAAAAAAAAAAAGTTAACTCAAAGTCATTATATATCTACCTGACTCATTTGGAATTAGAAACGTATTTCCCATTGTCTTCTCCAAGTACTCTGTGACACAGATTACATTATACCTAAGGAACACGTCCAGAATTTGACCTTAGTAGATCCAGAGTGTTCTGCATAATGAAGCCAGGACATTAGAAAATTGCATTGTATTATGCAGTTTTTCTATCTATCCTCTTGTTTATTTTATATTATTTCAACTTAGATCTTACATGTAGTGCTTCATTCCTTCCTAGGTTAGGGATACTAGGAGAATCTATATGGGGAAAAGATGTTTTATGTCAACTTTACCTGTTGAGTAGGCTATGACAACCATAAGAGCTTTTTTTTCTTTTTAAAGATTTCATTTATTTTTTTGAGAGAGAGATACTAGCAGAGGTGGGGAAAGGGAGAGGGAGAAGCAGACTCCCCGCTGAGCAGGGAGCCCATCGCGGGGCTTGATCCCAGGATCCCAAGTTCATTACCTGAGCCGAAGGCAGACGCTTAACTGACTGAGCCACCCATGTGCCCCAACAACCACAAGAACTTATTAAATCCAATGTCTAACTATATTATATCATAAACTTAAAATTTCCAGAGGTAGATCTTATGTCTTATCAAAAAAAATTAGTAATAAAGGGGGCAGGAGGAAACTTTGGGAGAAGATGAACAGGTCTGTGGCTCGATGGTGGTGATGGTTTCACAGGTGCACGCTTATCCACAAAGTCATTGAGCTGTATATGTTAAATATGTACAGTTTTTTATATGTCAATATTATCTCAAAGTAAAAAAAACCCACAAAACTCCTCCCCAACTATAAGCTATGTCTGAAGAATATAAAATATTTCATCTGAAAGTATTTCAGTGAACATAAATTTAAATTATAAACTGTCTGAAAGCCATGAAAATATTTACTATACATGTATATTGGTCTGCAATGTGACCATATATCTATAGCTACAAATGAAATGCTAATAAGCCTTTGGTTGAATGAGATTCAGCTTTCTGCTGTGAAGGTTCTTTTTTTAGTCTAATCATTCTGTAAGAACAACAACAAAAATGGATAATTTGACATGGGCTCTAGAGTAAGACAGACTTGCCCTCAAATCACAGCTCTACACTTGGGCATGGTACCTAACCTCTCAGATACTCAGTTTCTGTACCTGTAAGATGAAGATCTTAAGAGTATCTGGTGGTCTTTGTGAAGATTAAGTACAAGTATGCATGTAAGGCCATTAATAAGTACTTGACAAATGTCAAGATTATAATGAGGATTATAATATCTTTATAAGCTATCAATCTTTTAGTTGTTAAAAAAATCTTATTTTAAGAGAACAGAAGATTTCTGTAAAGGGTATCTTCATTTACTTATATAAAAATGGTATCATTTTTGTAAATGCCCAAAACTTGTGTGTAGCAGTAATCAACATGCCAATTCCTGCTGATTTTTCCAACGTATATTATCATACCATCTATATCAAATACCCTCTAATTATTTAACTATATAGTTATAGTATTTGTATCTCTTCACATTTTCTACTATTGGGAGATTTCAATGAATGATCTGGGGTTTTATTATTTGTTTGCTTGTTTTAGTCACAGTCATCCTGGGAAGGTGCCATCACATTCACTGTTAAACATTTCTAGGATCAGCAATGCTTCCATTCACTATTTTTTTTAAATGAGGGAAAAATTAAAAATTATTCAATAATAGGTGGAAGATGTTTTGAATCATGACCCATAGTTCCCTGAATGCATCTAGTCATGAAGACCTAAAATAAAAGATGAGGGTTTATCTTGTTTTGTCTTGCTTGCCTTTTAGTGGTCAAGTAAGGAATGGCTAGGTAGAGAAAAAAACCCGTGGCCCTTGTATAATAGGATTGTGGACTAAATACCTTAAAAGTTATGTTTTTTAAGTAGAATTGATTTCCAACTCACTTTCTAACAAAGTTCATTCACGGAAAAAAAATGCTCCCTTGTTCCCTGTGCTGCTTCTCCCTTTCTGGCCCTTCCTGCCTGACCAGGTGAAGGGCCCCAACAGACAAAAGCCTGAAGGGCCAGAGCACACAACCAGCCTGTGCTCACTTTAAGTCTGGACGGGCCCCATAATCACTCTTCACTTCATTATCAGTTCCTTCAAAGAGGGCTTTGGAAACACATTCCAGATAGTTTATAGAGTTTATATGGATACAGATTACTCTGGAAAGAGACTACAGTGGTAAATCCTGAGTCCTAAGAAAGTATGTCCCTCTGAACACATTAAAAAGTCTCTAGAGATGGTCAGGAAAATGAGCAACATTTGATAAGCTGTGATATCCTACAGAACTCTCTCAACATTTATCTTCTCTTCTCAATGACCTCATCAACTTCCACCTGGAGTCCTGTAATGTCCAGACTTAACCTCCTCCACCCCGAGTCTGAGAGTCACCAAAAAGATCTTTCAAAGATTCTAATCTAATCTCGCTCACTAGGCCTAAAATCCATCAGGGGCTCAAGGTCAAATCAAGAAAAAAAAATCTGAACTCCTCAATATGCATAAAAGGCCCTTCATTATCTGGCTCTTGGTCTTATTTTCCCGAAGTTCTGCTTAATATCCTGACTTAACTGCATTTCCCAAACACACCAGTTTCACTTACGTGAGGGTTTCTCAACGTTTGCACTATTAACATTTTGGACCTGATTACATTATTTTTTTTAAAGATTTATTTATTTTTAGAGAGAGAGCATGTGCATGCACAAGCTGGAGAAGCAGAGGGAGAAGGAGAGAGAATCTCAAACCAATGCTGCTGTGCTCAGTGCAGAGCCCGATGTGGGGCTCGATCTCATGACCCTGAGATCACGACCTGAGCCGAAAGAAACCAAGAGTTGGACGCTTAACTGACTGCACTATCCAGGCGCCCCTGGACCTAATGACATCTTGTGAGAAGTCTGTCCTGTGAGTTGTGGAGGTTTGGCAGTATCCCTGGCCTCTACCCACTAGATGTCAGTATCACAACTCCCCTCCCCCTCCCGCCCAAGTCACAACAATCCAAAATGTCTCCCGACACTGCGAAATGCAGTGAGGTAAAGTCACCTCCAGCTGAGAACCACTGGCTCACATCCTTGCCTCTTCATTTGTTAATCTCTTGCTAAAATAGCACCTACACCTTTCCCCTTCAGTCCGTCCTGGAACCTCTCCACTTGGCTAACCCTTGAACCTGAAATTTTGTTCAACTATTATCTTTTCCTCTCTTTTCCAAGTGGGAGCAATTGACCTTTCTCTGGTGAGTACTTTGTGCCTAATCCAATCATAGTCAAACATTATCAAGCATTTATAAAACTACTATTTTCCCTATCAGACTGCCAGCTCTGAAAAGCAAGGATGGGGACTCTGGCCACTGTATCACCAACATGGGATACAATCCAGCTCACGAAGCAGGGGATCAACAAATACTTATGGAATTGATGGATGAAAAGTTAACCCAAGTATTCTATAATCATCTTAGCCATTAAAAAAAGCAGAAAAACCACATAAGCAGTTCAGCATAATGCTTTCAGGTATTCCAAACATTTTATAACCTCATGTCCTATCACAACTCATGTCTGATTTTCATACATCGAAAACCACTTGAAAATTAAGAATAACAATGCTAACTCACAGCTTGTAAGAACCGGAAAGACAAGATGGGGCCACTTAATGCCCCACAGGCATTACTGTCTTCAAAATCTCCTTCTTCAAGCAAGAATTGCTGGCCTTTAAAATGTTCTTTTTCATAGGCAACCCACCTAGAAATACAAAGGACATCCAATTGAGCCATTAATAAGATTAATTAAAAAAGAGAGAAAATCATGATAAAGCAACTAGTTGTAAACCACCATATTTTAAAAAAGCAACACATTTGTTTTGTTACCATTTATAAAGACAGACAGATGTTGTATGCTTCATGGATCAATAGCTTTTATAGTCTGGAGGCTCTTGCCAACAAAAGGTTAACTGTTACAGGATTGCAATAGAGCAATGCTCACTAAATGTTTGTGGTATGACCTGATGCCACACCTCAACGTGGTCAAAGGACAGTCTGCCAAGTAAAAAATAATGGAAAGCACAAATAGCCAATGAGGAAGTTATAAACCCATTTTGAGATTCAAAGATAATTATTCTTATTTTACTGACAAAGCCCTTCTGGAATCACAGAATCTAATTACTATATTTAGCATTTATGTAGGTTTTAAATCAAAGGAACCTCTCACTGGGTTTCAGATCTAAAACACATTACTGGTGGGTTTAGCAAAGAGAAGTGCAAATGGGCTGGCGTTAGCCCTGGTGGCCTACACATAAGAATACTTCTGTAATTGTTTACAGGTGGGCAGTGTTGCTCCCACCATTTCCTCAGGGGTGATAATGGCAAAAAGAAGCACTGTGGCAGAGTACTTTCCAGGGACACAGGTGTTCTTTTTTTTTCTTTTTTAAAGTAGACTTCACACCCAGCACAGAGCCCAATTCAGGGCTTGAACTCAGGTAACCATGAGATCAAGACCCGAGCTGAAATCAAGAGTTGGACACTTAACTGAGCCACCCAGGAGCCCCTTGGGACACAGGTTTCTTGACTTCTAATCGAAAACTATCAGTACAGAACACTGATAAACACCATTAGTCATTAAGCTCCTCTATGAAACTTATTTTTAATGGAATAATTCACAGTAGCAATGAATGTAACGTGGGCACAGATGGTTCATAACACATGATGACCCGCTTCAATCTGCCTTTTGAGGCACTGTCTTGTTAGAATGGGACCCCCTCCAATGGGGTAGGTTCTAGGATGACTATTTTGAGCTCCTGGGTTGGGGACTTCTGAATTCCGGGGCTTGACAAATGAAGCTGGGTAGGGCTGACTACTACTGTTTTGAGAAAATAAAAAAACTGCTCCAAAACTTGTTTCCACAGGGTACAAAATTAACAGTAGCCGCTCAGCAATCATGAATCCCTCCTTGCCTTTACCATGTAGTTGTGTATATGACATGGGAAGAGGGGGTCCACATGAGTTGGAATAAACATTTTATACATCTTAGTGGATTTGTAATATGTAAAAAGACTAACATTATTTTCTTCTTAAACTATTATGTGAAGATGAATTGGGCAAGAAAATTTTCAAATTCTAAATGTGGCTTTCATTCATATAGATGAGGCTACTCAGAACATGCCTTTAATATACCTGAATGGGAGGAAGAATAAAATATATAGAAGACCTTAATATTAAAGACAGAATAATAAATTATTACATGACGACAGTTCAAAAATCTGCTCAGCTCTTTTTAATGATTAAGTTTTGTCTAAGAATCAATTTATATATACATCTGGGATATTTAAAAGCAGATGTTATCTGAGAAAAATAAGGAAACATCAACCTCACTTTCCCTAGATTCCTCAAGATGGGACAGAGATGAGTTCCTACTACCTGTAGATAAAGTTAAACAATTAACAAAAGTGAAAAATGGTAGAAGTAGTGAAAAAACGAAGTTAATTGTTCACTTGTTTTTTTTTTTTTTAGATTTCACTTATTTGAGAGAGAGAAAGTGCGCCCATGCATGTGCAAGCCAGGGGACAGGGAGCAGAGGGGGAGGGACAAGCAGACTCTGTGCTGAGCAGGGAGCCTGATGCAGGACTTGATCCCACGACCCTGAGATCACGACCTGAGCCAAAATCAAGAGTCGGATGTTTAACCGACTGAGCCACCCAGGTGCCCCTCAACTGTTCACTTTTAAATGGAGACATGATACTTTTCTCCTACAGTTGTCATATAATAAAGTGTGTATGTTGTATTACAAGCATAATATTTTCTTAAAATTTTTATAAAATAATTACAAAAAACTCAGAAAACAATGCAAATCACGATCTAGTTAATGGGAAAAACATTCAGATCCCAAAAGAAAGAAAAGGGAAAAAATATTTAGCAGGGTTAACAAGAAGGGTATGTGTTCACAGATCAGAGCAGACTACAAATAAATACGACACAATAAAAATATATCCAAAACACATTTGTTTTTCAAGGGCCTAATAATTTTTTTAAATTGAAAGATAAAGAATTAAATGATTACCAATATGTCAGACCAATTTTGGATATGTCCTACATATCTAATACATGGCACAGTCTCTTTTATTTCCATTTTGGCTAGTGTAGCCATCACTTATGATTTATTGCCAGAAACTGCAAAGTCTAAATCTCTAAATGTAGATTCTTGAGTGATCTTAGGCCAGTCATTTAATGCCTATGAATAAAATATTTTAGCTGCATCTTTTGCTAGAATAGCATGAACAAGATTTATGATGTTACTGCAAGTAAGGAGACATCGATACTTTAATTAAAATGAACCAATATCCCAAATAAACTATCATATCAGCAAAGAGACCAACGTTTCTAGAGGAATTCTAGCACTGGGTTGACAATGGCAAATAAGCTATGAAGAAAGCTTCTTGTGATTTTTATCTGCCAGGATACAAATACAAAGGCACATCCCAATGCAGTCACAGATTTTCTGGGGTATCTGCCCCAGAAACTGCTGAGACCAGGATAGTAGCAATGATTGGTTACAATCGGGTTTATACTGAGAGGTAGTTGGGGGGCTCCTCAAAAACAGTACAGGGCCAGAAGGTAACCAGTGTTAAAAATCCTTGACTTGGGAAACACACAACCCAGGCTACTTTTTTAATGAGGGACTCACTGTCAAGATCCTTAACACAGAAGATGCACAGAATAGAGAATAAAAACTGGGGCTCTCATTCATGTTCAAAATTTGTAAAAATAAATAAATGAATAATTTTATTTTGTAATTTTTATCTTCCATATTGTGTTTAGAATACTAAGTGTTTTGAGAAACCATTTTCTACATTTAACCTACCTCAAAATCTCTAATACAACAAGTTCACAGAAAAGCGAGTAGTGACTAATATTTTTTATTTTACAGTACCTTCCAGAAGGGATGTAATATTTTTAGATTAAGACACATTGTTTTTGCTTGGCTTGGGACATTTTTTTGTGATCTTCAAAAAATAGACTATTAAATCAAATATTGTAGATATAACACTCACACTCCACCGATGACACGAATTGATCCAATTCCATGAAAATCCCCATTTTTTAAAAACTTAGGGACAGAATCTATGTGTTCACTAAACTCTTTGGCATGTCCATGGAAGTGAGGTTTTTCATAAATAATAACCTGAAAGATATGAAAGAAAATTACTTAACATGCTCGTTTTTTGGTATAGACACAAAACTCATTTACTTAAGTGAGACTAAAGACATGAATAGGGGCCAGGGGCCACTGTCCTTTTTATTTACAATATAGTATGCTGATAGTCACAAGGAATATGTGAGTTATTATCATAAAGATAAAATATCTTAATAGCATATTTCTTTCATAATAATATAGTCAAATATGATTCCATTGTTCTCGTTACCCAAATTCTGGGGCCATCTCACAGGGCAAAAACTGTCTTATAAAGGATTCTTAAATTAGCTAAGTTTAGCTCTCTGTTTGGAATTTAATACAAACCTGCCTTATATTTACCGGAATTTCCCCTCTTAGAAATAAAAACTCTCTACAGAGGTTCTAGGACACAGTAATAAATTATCTACTAGAATGAGAAAACACAGCTGCTTCTTATAACACTATCTGCATCTATAGCAATTGCTATTTACTGATAAGAAATAGATACACAAATTCCTGAATCTGAATATAAAACTTTCTAATAAGAAGTGATTGCAAAAATTATGGTGGTTTTTTTTTTTTTGGATACTGGATTCATATGGGTGGGGGGTAAGTATAGTGGGAAATCCATTCCTAGCATTTCATTTACTTCAAATTTGGATTGGCACAAGTATGCCTCTTCCGCCATTTTGGTGCTCTTTACTTCCCAAGTACGACCTGCCTGTCCTTAGTATGCAAAAGTGACAATGGTGATAACGGCACTCATCTATCCACACTCTTATCACCTGGTCCTATTTGTGGCTGATGGCATACGTGGCGTACAACCAGCAAACAAAGGCCCCATGCTTAAACACACTGAACAAGTTATAGCTTCCCTGTCTCCAAAAACTGATATTATACAACTGAAAAAAATACATAGTACTGCTCCTGTTTTCCACATATTAAATTTTCACAGGATGCTGTATTTGAAGTGAAGTTTTATTTGAGTTTAATACTTTCTACATATGCTGAACCCAATCAGACTAAGAAGCAGTAATTCTTTGACAAGTAAGCCTTCACTAACATCTAAAAACTTCATCTGATCATCTATGATAGCTATCTCATTCATATACCGCTACAGCCTGTCAAACTGCAAATAGTCCAAGGAAGACCGAGCCTGTCACACCTGAAGAGATTGAGACAGGAGTCACTCAGAAAGTGTCAGAGCTAACTCTGCATCTTTCAGGTCACTGGTTCGAAAACCTTGGCTGTGTGTTATCAGAATCACGTGGGGAGCTTTGAAGACTTCTGACCATACCCCAGACCAAAACAGTATCTCTACGAGTGGAATACAGGCAGTAAGTCTTTGTTTAAACTTGGGTATATACGACTCCAACAAGGAGCCAAGATGTATTACATACACTCAGATACTAAGTTTTAAAAGATTCCACCTATGTGATTAAGAGCACTGTGGTCAATTTGATCAATTAGGAAGCCCCCAGAAATGGGACGGTTGGAGGAGTTGTGTCTTGTTCTGCAGGACAGGAGGACGGATGATTCTTCCCATGCCTGCCTCTGGAAGTGCTGTAACCTCGTCAAGCAGAGGTCTGTTTGCATCTTTGATCACTGCACTGGTTTTCTTCCCATCTCTTTTCACACATATTTTATAATTCCATTTCCTTTTCTTTCCCAAAATGTGCTTAATCCTGGTGCCACTACCGCTCCAGTTTTCACTGCCTCTACTGTTCCCTTCAGATACTTATACTTACAAATTGCCATCTCTCTGACAGGAGGTACCTACCCCTTCTTCTGATAATCCTTCATCTCCTTTGTGAGCATTATTCCCAAACGTCTGATACCTCCACTAGAATGTCAAGGTGCCACCTCTACCGCCCCTCCCCACAAAATCAAAAATCAAACCTATCACCTTTCCCTCCTGCAGGTGTTTATGGTGTTTGACTGGGTTGTCAGCAAGACTTCCATCCTTGCATACTGACCCAACTCGCCCTCACAGCATGAGTCCTCAGTGGCCATTTTGTGCAGTCACTTCCCTCCAACATCCACTAACTAGATATTATTAGCATGCATTCTGCTAATTTTTTACCTTAATAATTCAAAATACTTAAAGATTAACACTCAAGCTTTTTAGCCTGCTATAAAAGACTGTTTTTAAGACTCACCTTCAAGTTCATAGGCATTTCCACTTTCAGTCCACCCTTAAGATAAGAAATTTTAATATTAGATACAGAAACATTTGGAATATTTGAAAGTAACTAAGTGACATATGTACGTTATACAAAAAAAAAAAAAAAAACATTAAAGGTTATATACCAGCCAACTTTAAGTTGTGGTAAATTTTAAAACTGAACTACAGAACCCTACAGTAGTCAAAACCAAGTCGGATGGCTCATCAGTGTAGATGGGGCAAGAAATCTTTAAAATATACTTTCCAGATTAAAACCATTACAAGGAAGGAAACTGAGCTTTTTAGTCCTCAAGCACACATGAGTGAGTAAAGATTTAATCGCCCCCTGCAGAGTGTCCCAAGAAACAAAGTGGAGTTGCTAGATTTAAAAACATCTCATTTGGCAGAGTAGATTTCCAAACCATTGACCCTTCATTTCCTCCGGACAACTACTCAGGCTTTCTAAATTAGAGTGCGTCCCCTTACAAGTTCCAACAACACTTTTTATCATACTTAACTATCTTTGTGACCTCAAGGTTGTAGAGCATAAAAGGTAACCCCTTCCCCACACAACCTAATTCCAGAATTTCCTGTTTTTAATGTCACTCCACACTGTGGTATTTCTTAAAATTTCTTAGTTTTTCCTGGTTTTTATTTTTTAAAGGCACAGAACAACCAAAAATGGTTTGCCACATAGCTAACATTTGAAGAGTTTGCCCTCAAATAAAAAATGTTTGCAACAAAAATACTGTATGCATTTATTATCTTTAAGAAAGCAACCACTCACAGAACTGTCCATTTATTATTAATGCTGAGCTTATTCATTACTGTGATGGAAAATCATAATTTAAAAAGAGGTTTTCTAATAAGCATCAAAAAAATTCAGAACTGTATTTAAAATTTTCACAGAACAGTACTTATAAGGAAACTGCATGCATTGTAATAAACTTAGCACAAAGTAAATTCAGGCATTTGTCTTCTAGAAAACATTAAAATGTTTTCACACAGATATTCTCTATGATATAGAGGCACAGAAAAATCATGTATAGATTGTCGATCCAATAGCACACATATTCTTTTCCCAGACAGAGATTGCATAAGCAATCCCACCATGGTTATTTTAGATTCATGGGCATTTTGGAAAACGCCAGTTTTTAAATTTGCTTACCATTTGAAGTGGATGCAATGATTTCATTTCTGTGGCAGAAATCTCAAAGAGCCCATGGTCTTCCTCCAGAACTGTAGCTTGCCCCTTAAAATTAATATCCGGGTAGGCAAGCCAACTAAATAAGAAATGAATGGTTTGTTAAAGTATAATAGGAACACTTCAGTCTGGTCTTACAACAGTTAAAAGTAAAAAGGGCTATCAAACAAACAAAACCCCAAAAACCAAAACAAAAAAAGCAGAATTACAACCAGTAAAACACATTTGAAATGACTTCACTAGACAGCGTAACAAGAGTTAATGCGTTACTCAGTACTTATATTCAAACACTCTAAGTCTATTATACGTACTCCAAGCCGTATGTATTACTTTTCTTAGAATTTTCTAATATTTTGGAGTTGTGACACCTTTGATTCAAGCAGACTATAACTGGAAGCAGAACAGAACCCCCCCAAATATCTATACCAACGATCATCAGAGCAGATCAAAAAGAGTGAAAGACAGAAAAGGAATCCATGTTGTAAAGGTATCACAGATTTGTGATTCAAGCTAATCTGGAACTAAATTAAGACTCAGCTCAGTCACACCCATAGTCCAAAAGATACCTTTGCAATCAGAAAGGCCTGCTATCAGACCCATGCTTACAAGCTGGTAGCCTGAAACAAATCATATAATTCCTCATTTATAAAATGCGTAGCTCTACCTACCTCACAGAAATACAATAAACAAAAAAAGCACCACGTGTCCAGCCCTGTGGAGGCACTCAGTAACTATTGGCACCGAGACGCTCTTGAAATAGTTCAAGCGCCAGATATTTAGGCCGGGGACATGCTTTTATTTCTCAGTCCCAAAATTTGGTGGATGAAAACATGATGAATGCATCTATCAAGAACTATGTCTGCGGATCTCTATCTGCTCCTGTGAGTCCTACATCAAAGACTTAATTGGATCCAAAGGAAGACAGAATCTGTTTTAATCCCTGCAATGGTCTATCTTGAGTATCTAGGGGCATAAATAAAATTAACTAAAACTTCACAAATAAGTATGTCACCCACTGAAATCTGAAGTAAAAAGTTAAATTTGCTGGCCATCAATCACTGTAATAATGAGAAACTGATACATACACTCCTGACTTCACAGTGAAGGACACAGATTTGGGGATATTCAGCTCTTCCAAATTGGGGACTGCTCGCTGTATATGCATAGGACAACAAGCTGGGTCCATCTGTGGGCGAAGTTCTATCTCTGGAATGCTGCAATCCTGGAAAAAAAAATTGGCTTTGAAATCATCTGGAGACAATTCCATATTCTCAATACCCTGGACACACAATTACGATTATTCTCATTGTTCAGTTGAATTTCTTCACAAAAACAACATGAAGGAAATATTATTTCACTTAACCAGTTTTTTAAAATGAACTTTTTTTCTAAGAAGTTACATTGATAACATGAAAATTATAAATACTACCGATTGAAAGAGTATTGCTCAATTTTTTCTGCTTTGTTTTTAAAAGTCTTGTTCTATTAAGCAATCAATGTTCAGTTACCAAACTCCGTTAGTGCCAAAAGTCTGTAAGCCTTCCTTCTCAGAAGCGTAACAAAGCCATAAGAAGGAAGGGAGTTCAATAAAAGCTGATCTCATGGGGGATATAAAAATAAACAACAGAGAAACACTACTCCCTCAGTGTGTTATCTAATTTACATGGACAAAAGAAGGAGGATCAGACGCGAGGGTAAAGGAAACCCATTTTCCTACTTGTGGGATTTTATTTATTTTAGTCCAAGTTGGTTTAAAGAAGAAATTTGACCCTACCCTCCATCACATATTCACTGCCACCATGTCTTGTCAAACCTTCCTTTAACATTTCACTTACATATCTCTCTTTTCTATTCCCACTGTCAAGGCCTTTCACCAACGCTAAGACTTCGATCATGGGCCCGTATCTCCCCGTCAAGTGCTAGCCACGATTCATGCAGCTGGGCATGTTAGAGAACACCACTTTCCTCATGACACTCCTTGGCTCAAAACCCAAGCATATCAAATTTACATTTGTTTGCCTTTTTACAACATGGTGCCAACCCAGTGACCCACAGGAGGCCCACGCAACTCTTCAGTCATACTGGTGTCCATGCTCTCCCCACTCCCTTTTTTATACGGCCTCTCTTTGTAAATGTTTCCCCCACTGCAACTAAAGAGAGAATTTTCTATATTCTTACCTACGAAAATCTTCTAATGGTCAAGTTCTAACACAAAAAAGACCTTACCTTTGATTGTTAGGGAATCAAAGCTACCATTATTTTTCCCTTCTCTGAAATTACAGATGTGCTTCTGTCTGAACACACTAACTCCGTAATCATGAGTTTAATTATACAAACTTTCAGTAGCGTAATCCTCCCCTAGGACATTGTGAAATTCAAGTGATTATGCTTTAATGAAACAGGTAAATGCAGTAACAATCAGAGGTGACATTAGGCTGAACAACTGCATTTTTTATTATAATCAGTTTTGCCATTTAGAACTGCAGTTTACTGATTTTTTAACCCTCTTCCAAACTGAGTTTTATTATTAATCATTCTTAATCATTCTTATTAATATGTATAAGCAAATTAATTTATTTTATTTTCAGAAAGCTAGTTCTAAAATGCAATAAAAAGGCATAACCTAAAATATCCTTTAAAGTTTAAAAGTATATTTCTGTTTAAAATTTCATTTAGTCAGAAACGTCCACAACAGTCACCTGTCAATCTTCAAGGCTTTTGTTTGCTATTAATAATAGAGTGCTAGTAACATTATTTAAAATGCTGCCATATTAATGTTCCCCCAGGGATGTAAGTTACAGTAACAGAATACATAACTAAATGTCTCACACAAATAAGTTTCCTCTGCATTGTGTTATACAAACAATGCATGGGTGGTGTACTTTAAAAGGGAAAAAGCTAAGAGGCATTTGAGTCTGCCACAACAGAGAAGGAAACAGCATAATGGAAAAAAGCATAATGATGGCTAAAAAATGGAAAATAAACAAAAAGAAGAATGCTTATGTCCTTAGCCAGAGGACCAGTTTTTTTCTCTAGTTAACTAAAAAAGATTTCACCGGTTAAGTTTTTTCTTCTTCATGGTGGCTATTCTCACGGAAATAATGTCTCTCTCAAGACTTGCATAATTCTTGATGGACCGAGGCAGTAAACACTAACAACTGAAGGGTACTTTATAGTAACCTAGCAACAATCAACAGTTTATTCTTAGTAAAGTTTGTATGGCTTCCTCCCCAACTTTTCTAGTCATAATAATAACTTTACAAACATCTTGACGAAACTTGCAAACTTAGACTATGAAAACCTTTGTAGGAATGGAGGCAAAACTACAGGAGAGAAACAGTCAAGAATGGATTACAGTTAACAAAAACAATTAAGAAAACCTAATGGACTCCACCTCACATAAAATACCTTCAGTCCCTGATCTAACAGATCTCTCTCTTCTCGGCAAATTAATGAAGACAAAACTGAAGTAACTTCTGACGATTAAGAAAAACGTCATTCCTTTAAAAAAAATATTAAATGCACTATAAACAGTAATTTGCAACATTCACTTCTAATATTTGAGAAAAGAAACACTTGACTCAAGAATTACTGCGATGCTACCTCACCCCCAATTATTTCTGGGAGCAAAGATGGCCCTTGAGCAGAATCTACAACTGCTGCTAACTGACGGTATCCTCTGCATCTATTCACAGCAAACTGAAGACATCACCAAAGTAGTATCTTTAAAGAATACCAAAGTTTTGACTACTCAGATTCGAGCAAATAAAAGAGGGTGAAGCAAGATAGTTCTAGGCTTAGGCCTAGGCGAATCTGGAATGGTAACAGTCCCCATGAAAACGAAGCTATCAGTAGGTAGAATTTTGACAAGGTTGTAGAAAGGAAGCAGTTCGATGCCCGATTCTTACTTTGTAAAATGTTTAGAACAATGCTAATGCTTTTTCCATTCGATGCTCAATAGTTTTTCCTTCCTCACTGAAAGTTGCTAGCCTGTTCAAGACATGAGGGCACTCACACTGCAGTTTAAAAAACGACTCCAAGAACAAACACTGGAAAAAGGAAAAAATGCAAGCAACACTTTTTCTTTTAATATAGTCTAAGCAAATGGCAGGTGTGCAAATACTCATTTATATATCTATAATCAACAGCCTGAGGTTTTTTGCTTGATATTATTGTGGTTGGGCTTTTGGGTGGTGAGAAGGTTGCTGTTTTCAACAACTTATCTTTTTTCCCCACTGGGCTTGGCATGATGCCTGACATTCACAAAAAAAGCACAAAACCATTAAATTACTTAAGTCTTAGAACATTCTACCTACAAACTATTCATCTCAATCAGTTTCTAGTGAGTTAGCTAATTAAATGAGCACTCAAATGCTGCTTGCTGAGCCGAATTGCTCACAGTTAAATTTTTCAGTGAAAACGAACACTGCCCCTCAAAGCTGCAGCCACATCCATCTCCTCATAGTACCACCAACATTCACCTCGGCATCTAACACGGGGGGCTCTGCCAAGAACTTTCTCATGTTTTCCACCCACCTAACCCCTGTTTATTCTCTCAAGGTTCCAATCAGGTGCCACCTCCTCCAGGAGAGGTACCCCTTCTTTTTGCAACCCTAATGGCAGCGCATGTGGTTATGTGACTCCGCTGTCCCTCCTTCAACTTTAAGCGATCTGAAGTATGAGATCGTATCTCACTTTTATTTCCATTCCCTGTGCCTATTACAGTATTGGGCCCAAAAGCAAAACATAAATTTGTTAAGACACAGGCTTGTTTGCAGTATTCCAGGAGGTATTAATTCACATAAAATACATGCAGATACCCCTTTCATGATGGCTTTTTCTGTATGCTATCTGCAACTATCAAGAACTTAATAACATCGGCTCAAATCATTGTGATAGGGTCCACCTTAATTTGTATATTTAAGCATATAAACAAAATCTCCACAACTTGAAAAAATATAGCAGTGCCTGGGTGGCTCAGTCGTTAAGCTTCTGTCTTCAGCTCAGGTCATGATCCCAGGGTCCTGGGATCGAGCTCAGCATGGGGCTCCATGCTTGGCTTGGAGCCTGCTTCTCTCTCTCCCTCTGCCCCTCCCCCTGCTCATGCTCACTCGTGCTCATGTTCTCTCTCACACGCACTCTGACAAAATAAATAAATCTTAAAAAAAAAGAAAAAATATGTATCTGTGACTGTCATATGCATAACTGTAATAAGTCATGTGCTCTTTTACCGCAGAAGGAACTCTTTAGAATACACTGGGAAAATTCTGTCCTTATCTGCGATCTGTCCTAATCACTAATTCACCTCTCCTCTAAACCACCACAGCACTTCTCGTGAAATATTTTATTATATTGGGAGACCTTCCTCATGCAAGTATTAAATAATATTTTCTAAGCAGAAAATAAAAAAGCAATACACCTTTCCTTTCTCTCCCCACTCCTCCTCCTCTATTTTTCACCTAACACTCATCACTCACATACACACACACACACACACACACACACATCATGCACCATTTCATTTTATGGTCCAGATTATAGGTAACATTTTAAATTATCATTCACTCTAATACTTCATATGCATAAGTTCAAAAGATTATCAATATGATAAAGATTAGCAAAACTAGCACAAATATTAGCAATCACCTCTAAACACTGCGAGGCCAAAGTACAGCTTTACTACAAGACAAATAAAACAAAACAAAAATTAGGGAAAATCCATGGTTTTGTTACCTTTAAGACACGTTTGATAGAACCCAATACAAAGTCTCTCTGTGGATGCTTCCTGTTCTGAAGGATCCAGTCATGATTTAACACCTTTTCCCCTTCTTCCAGCACACATTTCTGACCCTGGAAATGTGGCTTCTCATACAAAATCCAGCTGAAAAAATATAAAAGCATGATCAGTTATAATTAATTTTCTAAGAAATGAGGCATAAAACAAATGATACTTAATCCACAGACCATCTCACCTACCTTTTAAAAGCTGAGCTATTTTCCACCATTAGCACATAATTCTATTTTTGAAACAATGATATATGCTAATGTAAGTATAGATAAGTAGCATAAGAATAAAAGTGCATACAAGTTGGAAATATTCCTGAACATAATCTATGCCTATGCTTATATACATGTACACATGCACTTTCTAGATGGTATATAAACAAAGCCATACATTTCTATTAAAACAGTTTAATAATTCCACATTTTAAATAAAATGGGAGCACATACATCCCATTTTATTACATGAAAACAACACTACGCCATACCACTTACATCATGAATATTGATCAGTGAGTAACTGAGACACTGGACAAAGAAATTTTGGCTCCAGCATGTCCAAGGGAAATGGTCAATTACAAATGAGGTTTTCCCTCATTTTTACACCATACAAAGAATCCTTCACTTCTTGACTATGTCAGCTATACAAATGACTCTAAGTATGTGGCCTTCACATTCCTTAGCATCCCACAAATTTTGAACTCACTTTCAAAGCTATGCTTCATTCAACTCATGCCTTTAACTCAACTTGCCAAATCTATCCTGCTAATAGTGTAGTTTCAGGATGGTATTGATTGTATATATATATATATATATTAGGTCTCGCTACTTATAGCTGGCTTTAAGCACTAAAAACAACCTATATTTTCTGTCACAGTAGATAAAGAGAACAATTAAGTTATAAAACACTAATAATGTTTCAAAATATTCTGTCAAAAACCGAGGAAAAGGAATGTGACTTCAATAAAAAATATAAAAAGCATAAACAGTAAGAAAATACACTTAGTTGGGAGAAACATGCTACAAAATTTTAAGAGATCTCTTACCAGCCCCTTACAACTTTTATCAGTACCCCATTCGGAAAGGACCATGATGTAGCATCAGGAATACTACAGTAGATCTCTTGCTTATATTTACTTCCATGGAGATCATAGATAACCATCTGCAACATATAGTAAGTAGGCACAATAACTAATTTTAAGAATGCATTTAAAATTCCAAGATGCCTAGAATGTAGAAAATAAAATATCCTAAATATATAAAAGTAATTATTACTTTAGATGCTAAATCTGTGAGTAAAATAATCCCTTTTAAAGTCAGTTAAAAGTATTTACTTTAAACTCCCCAAACCTGAAAGTAACCTTACTTTTTTTTTTTTTTAAGTCAACCCTGTACCCAGTGTGGGGCTTGAACTCACAACCCCAAGATCAAGAGTCACCTGCCCTCTCAACTGAGCCAGCCAGATGCTCCTAAAATAACTTTACTTTTCATATCTTAGTCTATAAGAAACTTATGCTTACTGGGGCGCCCGGGTGGCTCAGTCAAGCATCTGCCTTCAGCTCGGGTCATGATCTTAGGGTTAGGGTCCTGGGATCAAGCCCCACATCAGGCTCCTTGCTCAGTGGTGTCTGGCTCTCTCTCTCCCTCCCTCTACCTCATGCTCTCTCTCACGCTCTATCTCAAATAAAATCTTTAAAAAGAAAACCAAACAAACAAGAAACTTATGCTTACCTTCCCAGGTCTTGGGTTACACCTCAAAATTTGTTTGTTAATATTCTGAAATAATAAAAGTGTAAGAAGGAAGCCTTAAGAAACATCAACAGAGAGATATATAGTTCAGTTTCTTAGCAGTCACAAGTCTAATTTAGCACATATTTACTTAGGGGGCCATTAAATGCAAAGCACACCTCTAGGTACTACAAGGGGTGTAAGGGCAAATATAAAGGAAAATGATGTGTTGTTTGTGCCCTCAAGAAGCTTATAGCTACAAAGGGGGAAAAAGATAGATCACACTCACATGACTCTTCTAAGTGAAGGACTAAGTTAAACTACAGGTAAAACACAAAAAAGAAGCCAAGTGATGGCCATCAAGGGAAACGGCACCATGATGGAGGTCAAATGATGGCACAGGGAGGCGCCCAAAGGCTTGTCTGAGCCAGTGATATGGAGAAGACCTTGAAAAACAGGATTTCAACTAGTGAAGCAATGTGGCAGGTTGGGGTCAGGGAGTAGCAGAAAAAAAACTTCCATGAAGAGAACATACTGAGGAAAAGTACAGTGGTAGGAAACACAGGGTGCATGACCAGAGCATGAGGAGACAAAGCTGGACAAACAGGACCTGGGTGCGTTGGAATGCAGTGAAGATGTTCCCTGTGACTTGGTAGGTGATGGGGAATCATTAAAGAAAGATTTCTTCAAATCCCACCCTTTCTTTTTTTAAAGACTGCCTTGCAAGCTACTGGTTGATATTCAAGTATATAACTATCTGATACTATGGCTATTCAAGGTGAAGATACAGGTCTTTGGAATCCTAGAGAAAGTTCCATGATCTTGGGAATGCCAGAAAGGAAAGCCCCACGTTAAATGGATATATTCTATGTTAGACATTTAAATATTTCTAAGGCAAAGAATACATATAACTGAATTTCAAGGCATTTTCCAGTTATAACGCTTTCAGCTTTTTCTTTGAATTAGGCTGTTCATTGCCTTGCTTTGTATGAACAACATGAGCAATTATAGTGAGAGGATACTGTGAGGTTGTCACTTAAAATGTTTTAAAATATTAGGAAATATTTTACTGAGACACATAGGTTCAATGGTTCCAGTAACAAATTCCCCATATATACTATCTTCAGAAATTCAAATGCTATCATTTAATTTAGCTTGAAAACTATATATTAGCAAAGAACTGGGAAATAACCTGCTTCTCCCTTATGCCTCTTAAATTCCGACTAAGCAATTTTGTTTTCTCATTTTAACAGTCCAGCTAAAATACAGCAGTTGTGACACACTTCAGTTAAAGGATAAAGTAACCTCTATTTTTAAAACAATCCTCACACAACCTCAAAACACTGATTTTCTTAATAAGCTTTCAAATCATTTTATGACCCAAAGCACTACCTCACTAGTTAATAATCAAAGTAACTTACCTCTGTGAACGGGCTTAATCTGCCTGAGATGTCCTGAGCACGAAAGTATTTTGACACTGGTTCCTGAAAAATCCCACCAAATCGGGCTCCCTTCTCTGAGGAATGGGTTTTGGAAGTCTGCAAATACTGATGATAAGCACTCTTTAAAGAAGAATGTAGTTTGGAAGTAAGGTCAGATTTTTGTAGAAATGAAGCCTTTTCTGGCCACAGACCAACTTGCAGATTGGAGGTAGTAGGTTCATTTGACATTACATATGAATTCTTAGAAATTCCAGTCCTTTCCTGGCTATCATCAGGGTAAAATGCGATGGAAGGGTCTGGCCGCTTGAAGGCTTCCTTCCTCCTCGCTCTCAGGCTTCCTTTATGTAACGGTTCCTCCTCCTCCTCCACGTGCTCCTCCTCCTCTTCCCCTACCCCCCGTCTGTCTTCATCAAAATTCATCTTCAAGCGCTCTGATACGGACTGCAGAAGGGATAAAACAGAAGAGGGCTGGCTTGCACTCTCTCTTGATTTTGTGGAGCCATGATGACCAGGCGAGACCTCACTGGACAGAATGTCCTCCTGAGAACTGTCATCCTCATAAATGGGAGACAAAGCTAAGGGATAAATTTTGTACCTTTTAGCCTCCACTGATAAGAACAATTCCGAACTATCACTATCAAACGTCTCACCTAATTTAGTATCCTTTTCAAAATGATGGACGAGGTCAGTTCTGCTCTCAGACCTCTCGCACGCGAGAACAGGCATGCTGTCAGCAGATGTCTCAGGAAACGAGAAACAGTGTGTTCTTCTTAGTTCTGCGGTAGCACACCTGTCCTCATCTTGAAGGGGTTCTTCATATAATATAGTAAAGGAAGAATTTTCTTGTTCATCCTGAGAAATGAAGGCCAAGTTAGATTCTTCTTTTTCATCGCTATAATTATCATCCCTTATTCGGTTATCTACTGCAATAACAGATGTTCTTCTGTCTAGCTTCCCTATGGTACCCTCAGGTTGAAAATCTGACATTGCTAAAGCTGGGTAGCCTTCATAATCCTTACTTAATGTTGGTGATTCATATCCCCTGAAATAGGAAGAGGCAAGTCTGTTGTCACACGCTATCAAGCCTTCCTTTCTCTCAGGGGGATCTCTCTCCATTTCTCCAGCACTCTCTCCACCAGACTTTTGCGGGGTTTTTTCAGCTTCATATATGGGAGGCATGGCCTCTGCTTGTGTAACAGGCAATTCCAGGTCTGTTCTGTATGTTTTCTGCATGTTTACCATTGTGGATAACACTTTGTGTTTCCTGAGAGCCTCATCAGAATCTTCTGGAGATATTCTTTCCATTTCTCTTGGAGAGGGCATGGACACAATCATGCCAAGGGTCTCTTTAGCCTCTCTCTTACATGGTTTTTCCACTTCTAAGAAGGCAGGGACTGTCGCCTTGTGAGCTTCTTCCACTTCTGTTTTCCTAATACCCTCTCCAGCATCCTTTTGATAAGATATTTCCACCACAGGTACTGCAATCTTTCCAGTGATGCCCTCCACATCTTTTTCATAGATATTTACCACTTCTAACATAATGGGCATAACCTCAGTTTTGTCCAGATCCCCTTTAGCATCTCTTAGGTAAGTATCTGCCATTTCTAATCCAACAGGTATCATCTCGGTTTCAATATCCCCTTCGGCATCCTCTGGGTAAATACCTTCCATTTCTAATGTGGCAGGTATCACTTCAGTCTTTTCAGTAATCCCCTCAAAGTCTTTTTGGTAGGCATCTTCCATTTCTGACATAACCGCTGTGATCCCACTCTTGCCAATATCCCCTTCAGCATGCTTTTGGTAAATATTTTCCATCTCTAATGTGGTAGGTATCATTTCAGTCTTTTCAGTAATTACCTCAGCATCTTTTTGGTAAATATTTTTCACTTCTGAAATAACAGGCAGCATGTCAGTTTTGCCAAGATCTCCTTCAACATCCCTCCTCTTATAAGCTTTTTTCATTCCTAAAATGGCAGGTAATGCCTCAGTTTTTTCAATATACCTCTCAGCATCTACTTGGTATACCTCTCCCACTTTAAGAATGTCAGCTATTGGCTCAGTTTTTGTGATATTCAATTTGGCTTCCTTTTTATGTGCTCTTCCCATTTCTGACATAGGAGGGACTGCCTCATATTTCATAATATTCAATTCAGCATCCTTTTTGTTTGTTTCTCCCAGTTCTAACATGGAAGGTCTAAGCTCTATTTCCCCCATATTTACTTCAGTATCTTTCTTGTGTACTTTCCCTACTCCTGATGTTGTAAGGAGTGTGCTTTTATTACTGTGTCCCGGTGAGCTTTTTTCAGATATACACACAAGACTATCAGACAAACTGCTTTTGGATGTCCCAGGTACATGGAGGTCATCATTTGCAAATGGAGGCCATTTGAAATTAAATACAAGAGTTTTTGTATTCTCTGTCCCAGTTTTGTGATTATCCACACAGTCTATTTCCACTTTCTCTTTAGAGTCCTCTTTGAAAAATAAATGTGTTTTTACCTTATTATCTAACCCTTTATGGGGTGTGTCTTCAGCTAGCAAAACAGTATCTGATTTCAGCAAATTTATACTATCAGACTGTCCAGCTCCATTTCCAGAAAATGGGGATTTTTGGTAGAGAACAATTTCTCTTCCTTTAATTGACTCTGTGTCATTAACTAAGTTACTTACAGAGAAGAATCTACCTAATACTTTATTTTCATTAATTTCACACGTGCTTTGATTTACTGCCTGTTCAGACACCAAGAACTCCCTTAATGTATCATGTGGCTTAACACTATCACTGTTCAGAATTTCTGAAGTATTAGCCTGAAGTTCAGAATCCCAGGTATCCTCAGTATCTTCAAAAGCATCATTTGTCAAATTTTCTTGGGCTGAATAAATAATCTCATTGACTAATTCCCTAGCTTGATCTTCTAACAAACAAGATAAATTCATTCTATCAGAATCAAAAAGGAGACTCTTCTCACCAACCGTAGGTGAAACACAGACCTTTTCTTCCCCTCGGACAGCTGACCTGTTTTCCATGCCCTGCTCTTCCAAATGCTCTGTCAGTTCAATCCCTGTCAGTGTCACTTCTGATGGGTTTTTCTCACGGATATCTTCTTTCAGAGTACCTGGATTCATTATGCCGTCTATGGCTATATGCTCCTGGCAGGTAGCCACTCTGTGTTTGGATTTTAATTCTTCCCTGACAGAGTTAAAAATTTCACTAATCAATGTATCAGCCTTTTTCAGTAAACCACTTTTGAGGTCCAAAAGTTGGTCATGTGCTCTCCTCCTTGCTTCTATGTGCTTAGCAGATGCTTCAGAACACTGCTGGCTTGAGCTGTTAACTGACGCTGGAGCCCCAGCAACTGCTCCAGTCTCCGCTTCCATAGGATTGTCAAATCGGGCAGCAGTTGGGAAATCAAGAGATCCCTTCCCAGTAGGATTCCCAAAATGTTCCTCAAATGGGGTCACTTCTGACCCTGTTGGGACAGATGTTTCCAATTCCAAATAAGAGCTCTTAGGGTACAGCAGGTTAGTTAAAGAGGCACCTTCAGGTGTAGCATCTACGGTAACTTTTACAGAACTGAAATTATTTGGGGGATTATGTGAACTTAAAACCACGCTAACTTCTTCAGAGTTACTGGAGGAAGACATGTTATTAATACTACCACTTAGGAAATGAGTATTTTCTTTCCTTCTATGAGATAAGGCTTTCTTTCCTGATATCAGCACAGGAGCATTATGAAAGTTTGAATCCCCAGATGCAAATGCATTTTTTTCCGAACTTCTATCAGAATCCAGAAAAAGTGAATTTACTTTTGTACTGTCAGTTTCTTGGAATTGTGGAGAAGCACTAGTTAGGCTGAGTTTTGCCATTTTTGAGAAACCAGAAATCTTTCTAGTCTCACAACCATCTGAAGGTTGATGAATCACACAAGCACGGGCTTCGTAATTCTGTGCCATTTGCCTAGTGACTTTTTCATTATGAAGAGGAGGTAAAATCTCAGATGTATTACTTTTAGGAAAAGCAGGAAGATAAACTAAGGCTTCTGCCTCTGTTTCCTGAATATCTTGATATTTGGAGGCAGGAAGAGAAACTTCAGTTTGACAATTCTCTTCAAGGCCAGAAGTTGAATATTTTTCTTTTATTTCCTTATGATCCATCGATTGAAAACTTTTGTCCCGTTCAACCTCTTGGGAAGCTAATTCCGATAAAGTAAGCTTTCCTGGAATATCTGTAACTTCAAATGGAGAAGAAATTTTATCCTGAGAAATGTCTCTGGGCTCTGTTTGGGAAACAGCTATCTTGGAGAGGGCTATAGTGTTTTCTCTTCCAGAATACAACTCAACAGGAATACTGTTCTGACCATCAACTTCCACTTTTGAGACAATTTTGGCAATGTTAGGTTTGGTTTCCAAGGAAAGAGAATCAGACTTTTCTATGGCGCTCTTACTTGCTCTAGTGTTTGAAAGCATCAATTCTACTTTAGTAAGGTCTTGAGATGAAGTGGAACTGTGGTCCTCAGAGAGGCTTTCAGACTCCAATCTCGAGTCCACTCGAGTTACATGAACATCTATGGCTGTAAGATCTAGTGGAACGTGGCATTTTTTGACTTCAGGAAGAACTTCCTTGGATTCAAGAGTTGCAGAGACATGCCCGAGACGAAGGCAAGCAGGAGGCCTCTTCCCATCTGCTGCCTCAGCACGATTTGCCACGTTTTCTTCTTGACACTGACTAGGATGATTGGAAATATCAACAATGTTGACATCCCCAGTTTCAGTGAGCACAGAAGAACATTCATCCTTTAAAACAGGAATATCTAATTTGCTTGGCATACCAACTCTGGAAACAAAGGTAGGAGATGAAATACTGAAATCTGATTTTTTATAGTCAAGGGAAAGAGATGTTCTGACACCAGGTGATGCTTTGGCTTGTTGAAGACTCTCAGAATCAAGAAGAGATTCTGAAATGTGCTTTCGGTTAGGTTCAAAATTCAGTTCAGGTGCTATTTTACTTTCTAAGCATGCTACAATGGCTGATTCACTGATGTGTTTTACAGAGGCAGGGTTGTTTTGATTTATTCTAACCATACGAGGCATTTTGCCATGTGGCCTAAAATCGGGCCTTCTGGCTTCTGTTACAAACGACTGGTCAGTATCTTTGGGTAATGGCTCAATTCTACCTTTCGGAGCTTTTATGAGACTTGAAGTTCTGGGTTCACCAACCAAGGTGTTTTCTGTTTCTTGTATGATTTTTCTAGCAGCCAAATTTTTCTGTGAGTCTTGGGCAGACAGTCTATTTCCTTCATTTACAAGTTCTGTGTCTGTCACAGCATGTCTCTGAAGAGCAGGGATGTTGGTGTGATTGGCAGCCTGCTTTGCTGAGTTATCTGCGGTTTGCTTGTCAGAACACTTACTCTCTGGCAACTGTGGATCTTCGCGCCTAATTGATTTATCTGAACTTGGCAAATCTGTACTTCCCTCTTTGGTAGTGTCACTCCCATCAGACTTCCTACAAGAGAAGTCAGAAATAGTGGGGCTCACAGGCTCAACATGTTCTCTTTGCACCAAGGTCCCAGCACTCATCACTGAACTGACATCCTTCACTGTAGTTTCTGTTGTAGTTACCCCGTGAAAATCTAGACTGCAAGGAACTTTGCTGTTACTTCCTGTAAACAACGTTGAACATACCAAATTCCTGTCAGTCTGAGAAACTCGTGCACCATTTAAATGGTGCTGTGAGTCAGATTCTCTAACAGTGGAGCTGGATTTAGTCCCAGAAGAAGGGGATGGCCTACTTCTCACAGGTCCCCCAGGATCATTTTTATTTAAAACATCCTTAGAAAAAGCAGTATTGGGCAAATCTGGGTTGTTTGTCAGATGGCTTTCTGTGTTAAGATTTACTTTGCTACAATCAGAGTCTTCTGACAGGCCTTCGAGCAAATGCCTTTTCATAGATACATCTGTGCTAGCTGATGACAATGATGACACCATCCTAGCCTCCGTCTCACTTCCAGGACCAATATGGATGCTTGTACTAGAGTCAGAACTTTCATTTTCTCTGTCCGAGGGAGTCACAGTTTCCAATGCAGTCTGGTGCTTCAAATATTTCCTAATTTGCCTGGGGCCTCGATATGTTGCATATGTTACTGACGGCCTCTCTGGTTTACCATCTAGTTGTCTGTAAAAAGCAACAGCACAACAGTATCAGGAAATACAGTTAGTAACACTTAGCAGTAATCCTAGAAAGTATGGTAAGGTCTCTCAAATTATTCCTACTTTTAATATGTATTAATTGGTGAAGGAAATCCTAAAATGTTGTAGTTAAACCTGTCTTTATTTAAAAAAAAAAATAAAGATTTGACAAGCAGCATGTGAATGTCAAGGCAGCATGAATGTTCGAGCTTTAGAACCTTTCCGCCTTACCTGATTGTGTACATCTCTCTCACTGTGGTTAATGGAGAGAATATGGGCTGACAAGTTCGAGGCTTGGGTTTTAGTTATAATCTCAAAGGAGTGCTCTACTGGAAGGAACTATACTGCCTTTATGCCTCATACTGGCAAGTTTCTGGATATGTCATTGAATTCTCCACCATATCAGAGCATCATAGTAAGCTTCTCTTCCTTTACTCTTAGATGTGAATTTAAAGAGCAACTTTGAGCACATAGGGGGAGAACTTCTCCCCCTCTCATGTTATAGTAGTAAGAGAACTAAGGTTACTAGAATAAAATTCTGCTTCCTATCTCATTTCCTATTTCTGTAGACATGTATATTTCTTTGTGTAGCCATTTCTTCAGAATTATTTTATCGATCTTTTGAGGAAAAAAAAATACTGCAGCCTGTTGAGAGTTGGTTTTAAGTATAAAACTTAAAGCTTTGAAAGAAAAACCAACCAAACAGTAAAATTTCTTGTAATTTATTCAGGCTTCTGGATCTTCATATATTCTAAAGGCTCTTGTGATTTCTGAATAATTACTATATTTTGATATCAGATTTC